GATGCTACTAATCGTGGCGAGGGAGTGCTCGGGAGCAGTCATCGAGGAATTGTCGACTCGGGGCATTCGTCTAAATCACATATATATAGTTGCCATTCAATAGAAATGCCAACTATACGAAAGAGTGCTCTCGAGAAATTTTAATTAAATGTTTTTCTTTAACAAAAATGACCAAACTATTTGTTAATATGTAATTAATTGAGTATTATAATAGAGATTCATGGATAATCAAATGGTTAAAAGGAGAATTGCTAACATATTACCCACAAAATTAAATACACATAATTCAGAAATATAATCATTATATAACAACTTTTTTTCCTTCGTATGTTTATTGAAAATTAGTTCTTGGAATTGATTAACATCATCCTCCACGACAATGCGTGATTTTAGAGCAGCCTCGACGGCAAGGATTAGTCAATATTGCCTTTCCAGCCGGACAACCGGGAGGTGGGTTAGGTTGTTGGCAAGGATCAGGAAATTTAAGAAACTTGGTCTCTGAGGCCACTTCTTGACTCACCACGAACATGCCAATTAAGACTAAACATATCAACCACGAACTCATCTTATTTATACAAAACTCTTTTTATGTTTTTTTTATTGCTTTTTTGGTGTTTTTAAATGAAGCTTGAAACAGATTTACTGTTAATTTATGTAAAAATTATTCTAAAAATAATAAACATTCTATTTACAGAAGAAAAAAAAAACTAATTAGTTTAAATTTTGTCTATTTTCTCTTGTAATTTGTTAGTTTGTAGTTAATATTTATATCGTTTGAGATTTTTTTTTCCCCAGTTTTGTATTTATATTTGATTTATCATTCATTAAATAATGAATGAAATAAATTTTAATAAAAATAATTTTAGAGAACTATACAACTAAAAATTAAATTAAACTATATTAATATCAATCATCATTTGGTCTAAAAATATGCTCCACTTCCTTATCATTATTTTTACTCCACTTTCTTATCATTTCAAACTTAATTCTTAACCACCCACTTTAATAATTATATCAAAATAACTTAATTAATAATGAAAAGCCAGACACATTAAAAAAATTATACGAGAAAGCTAAAGCCTAACATCAGAAAGGTTGAAAGAAAAATCCACTGCTAAGTAGATATCATCCGCTTTAGCCTGTACTGTTGTTAGTCTCACAACTTTTAAAGTTGGGAGAGAGATATCGTCCGTTATATATAACTATCACCGTCAGGCTCACGGTTTTTAAAACACATCTATTAGGAGAGGTTTCCACATCCTTATAAAGAATGCTTCATTCCCCTCTCCAATAAATGTGGAATCTCCCAGCGGTCAAGAAAGAAGGGTGAAACTAGTAGAAAGTTTCGCAAGTAAAATTAGTAAAAAGTATTGGTTTATGGAAATTTGAAAAACACGAAGTAAATGATAGATAAATAAAGAAACAAGATGCAAGAGATCGACTATGCGAACTTATGCACAAGATGAAAAGTAACATATGTAAGTGCTGGAAGACAGAACAGATGAACAAGTATCAGCTATGTCTAACATGTTAAGGAAGTTGCCATTAGAAGGAAATCCTTAAATTTTTTCAGTAAACCAAGTCAATGAAGTGAGTGAGTTGTGTATATTGTGGAGACAACCACAATTATGAAAATTGCTCATCCAACCCAGAATTAGTTTGCTACGTAGTGAAACAACAAAAAGAACATGCTTATAACATAGACTTGCAGCCATGTTTTCAAATCATATTCCTCATTCCAAGTAAATATCAGATAGTTGTACAAAATTGTAGAGTAAAAGTATGAAAAATTATCAACATTATTGGCACTCGTACCTGCCCTCCAACTTTAAGCCAACTTTCGACGTCCCGGAGCTCTCAATCGAGGAAGACGTACTTCAACAGCCCATCTTTGTCTCAGTAGAGTCTTTTAGTGGCATATTTCGGTCCAATTCTTTCGAAGTCACCAACCCTTTTCCCCAGTTCAACACCAGGTTCCTTATTCACCATGGGCATGACCTTAAGTTTCAGGAAAGAAGAAGGGTGAAACTTGTTAAATTAGGAAGGACTAACTCCTAAAAACCATGTAGCAAGTCCTCTAATTACTTTCAACCATAGGAAATGTGGCATTTAGGAGTTGCTGCTGTGAATTCGTCAACCACTGCTCGTGTCTAGCTTTAGCTTTCAATGACTTCCAATGATCATGAAGAAGTGACTTAGTACTGTGGTGGAGATAAGCATTCATATCATATCCAAAAGCCTCCATTCTACGTATAAGAACAAAAGCATGATCCTTCCTGTCCTCTAAATGAAGATGCCTTAGCAGTTGGTTACAAATTCTAGGCATCAACATAGTGCCTGTTTCTAGTGTATAAAGGAAAACTTCCACAGCCAGGTCAAGTTTTCCTTCAACGCAAAGCCCACCAATCAACATCACGCAGCTTGCTGAACTTATAATCCTTTTGAAGTCCTTAAGAACAGAAAATATTGCGAAGGCTTCAGAAACCCTCCCTGCTTGACACAATCCAATGAGAAAAATGGTGTATGGAGCCAAGTCGAAGTCTTTTGAGTTCAAGTCCATTTCGATTATTCTCGAGATCGCCTTTTCAAGGTCTCCTTTGTCGAAACTTTCCTCTACTACTTTGACCTTTTCATCTTTCCAGCCACGAAAATTCCTCAGATACTTCATCCAAACACTAAACGCGAGTGAAACCTTTTTTCTTCGACACGACCAAGTCATGATAGACTTGTAAACAGAAGACTCAGGCTTGCACCCATTCTTTACCATTTGTTCGAAAATCCCTAGAGCATCCTCGTCCCTACCGACTCTGTGGAGCCCATCTATTAGAGTTCCATACGTAATTGAATCTGGTAAGCGCCCTTTAAGTTGCATGTCCTTGAAGAGCTTGAAAGCACCATCGATGTTGTTGGTCTTGCAAAATCCATTGATTAGGATGTTGTAAGTTCTAATGTCTGGAAAAACCCCACTCTCAACAAGCTGCATAAGAAGCTTGTAGGCCTTATGAATCAACCCCGACTCGCATAATTGTTCCAACATAACTTGGAGATCGACAGTACCAAGAACCTTATTGGCACCTTGCAAAAGTCGAAGGAACAAAGAAGGTTTTCTCCCTATCTCCATTTTGTAAAACAAAAGATGAGCTTCCTTAAGCTTACCAGCCTTGCAAAATCCATCAATGAGAGAATTGAAGGTCACAACAGAAGGAAGGCATCCAAGCTTCTCCATTTCATTGAATACATGTTGTGCCTCATCAATTAACCCATTCTTACACATACCACAAATGAGAATGGAATACGTGTGGTTGTCGGGGAAACAGTCGTGGTTTGAAATCTCGAGTCGAAGAGACTGGGCCTTATCCAAAAGACCCATATCACAAAATCCTCTAATTACAGCATTGTAACAAGTAGTATCTGGACTAAACCCTCTTTCCGTCATCTCATCCAACAACGCCAATGCCTCGTTAACCCGACCTTCTTGGCATAAGCCTTGGATCATTATAGTATACAAGATAACATCAGGCTCTACATTTTTCCTCGAAAATTTTTGGTACCACATATGTGCTTCATCATATCTCCTAGCCCTAAACAAGCCATCAATCAAACAACTGTACCCTTTGACTCCAAGAATATGGCCATCCTTCTCAAATGATCTCAACAATGCAAAAGCTTCATCAAAATAACCTAACTTACAAAACCCATTAAGCAAAACATTGTAAGTGATTACATCTGGACTACAACCACTAGCTCTCATCTTAATGAACAATCTCTGTGCATCATCAATTTTCTTAGCTTGACACAACCCAGAAAGGATAATCGAATAGGTTATCTCGTTGGGCAATACGTCTCTATCAGTCATTTCATCAAAGAGTACAAGGGCTTCTTGAGTTTTACTAGTTTTACAGAATCCATGAATCAAAATGCTGTAAGTAACCACATTAGGATTCAAATTACATTTGAGCATCTGATTATACACCGCTAATGCTAACAAAAACGCTTCTCTTCGCACCAAAACATGCAAAATCAAATTGTAAGCAAAAATATTGGGCTTACATTCAAAATCCTTCATCATGCCAAACGATTGGACGGCCTTCTCTTCCATGCCGGCTTTAGAGTATGCCTCAATCAATACAGAGAAGGCGTCCGATGAAATTTCAGTAGAAGAATCCTTAAGCTCTTGAAGAGTTTTCCAATATAATTCAAAGGCATTGTCCTTTACTAACCTGTCAATGATCAAATCCTGCGAGGCGCTGCAGCACAGGTGCCTTCTCCTCAACGACCAGATAAAAAGTCGAAATCCAAGTCGAGCATTCGGCTGTTCTTGAATGACTGAGGTAATTACATCAGATGATATATGAGGGGCTATGGTTTCCAATGCATCTTCAATGGGATCGACAGTTTCGATTATGGTGGAGACCTCATTGGAAGTAGCGATTGGGTCAGTGGGCGTATGAAATAAGTGGAACCATGGAGGTTTTGGAACTAAATAGGTGACGACGGGTCGTAGAAATGTTGATCGGCGCTTCATCGACGGCTAATTTCTTCCGGCAGAACTCCCATTACTAACACTGAAAGTGATTTCTCACCGCGGAGAAGCAAAAATCACTGCTGTTTAGGGTTTATAAGAGGTCTTTGCTTCTCCAGTCTTCGAATCTATGACGGCGCTAGAAATTAGAGCTTCCAGATCGGCGGCAACTGAAAATGCTTCGAATGTATAGCCTTTGGAGTCTTGGATCTTTTGTTCAGTCGGCACTCCGGAGATCAAATCAAGCGCTTCTCGCCAAATAGTGTTGCTAACGGACGAACGTTCAGGGCGTTTTTGACAAAATCACTCGATTGTTGCGAGTTTTGCTATCTAATCCAAAAACTTCTCAAATTTATTCATTCATCCCTTTAATTTTAAATTTTATATTAAATAAGTCCCTCAATTATAAATATCAAGCAAATTTCCAAACGTCTAATAATTATTTAGATAAATAAATAAATAATATTAAAAGAAAAAACGATGAGTACAAGTCGCTTCACTTCCCTTGGTTCCGGCGGAGATGATAAAGGAGTTGGAGAGTGGTGGTTAAGAAGGAAGTGGGTGGAAACAGATTAACAATGGCCGCTGCCCTCTGAGCTTAACCTTCAAACTTCTTCCCCTCACCTTTCTTCTTGCCGTTGCAAACGGAATGTCACTTCCATGGTGGACCTCCGCCACTGCCCTTCCCTCTCCCCCTCATACTCGGCTGATTAATCACCATTACAATCGCCTCCTCCACTCTTACATTCGTCTCGCAAAATCAAGCCCTTCTACTTTGAAATCCACCCCTCCGAGAGCTCTATTGCTTGACGAATTCATTCAACTCAGCCACAACAAGGTAATCCGTTGCCTTCTTCTCACTCTGTATCGATAATTTCGTCTCTTTCTTGTTCTTAATGGATGAATATTGTTTTCAATTTGGCTTTATTTGTTTTCTAGGTTTTAGTTGCTGCCGGCGTGTCCGCTGCGATTGGGCAACTCGCGAAGCCTTTCACTTCTGTTCTTTTTTATGGCAGAGAGTTCAACTTTAGAACTGCTTTTGGAGCTGGAGGCTTCCCTTCTACCCACTCCTCTGTTAGTAGCCTCTATTTGCTTTGTATGTTCTGAATTCTTTTGTTAATATAATCACCACCGTCGCTGCTGTTGTTATGCCATGTGTTTCAGGCGGTGGTCGCTGCTGCCACTATTCTCGGCGTTGAGAGGTAATCCGCAACTCAATATGCGTTTCTTTGTTGATTGGCTTTCGTTTCTAAGAAGTTGTGTGCCTGTTTTTTCAGAATAACTTTTCATGACATTACTTAAGAATATAATCGCAGGGGTCTTGCAGATTCAATTTTTGGCATAACTGTAATTTACGCGTCCCTTATTATGTATGATGCTCAGGCAAGTACGAAGGCTCTTCTTCTTCTTTCTTGTTTAGAGCTCGTTCTAATTGTTAATAATCTTCCCGTCTCTTTTCCTGGCATCCTTCTGCGGATTAATGGTGATTTTTTCCCCATTTTCTATTGTGCTCTGCTAAGTAAGTTAATATGAACTTCTATTGATGAGGAACATCTATGGAAAGAGAAACTGATCTCATAATTTTACCATGTGGACTCATATATCTCCTTTGTGTTCTGTATCTTCGAATTTATCTGGAGGACATCCAACGAGCAATTTTATTGGGTAAATAATGGATATAGATCCTAAAAAAAATCATTACTTATGAACAAGTGTGACGAATCGAACGAAGTAAAGCAGGTCAAAACCCTGTACTGAAGTGGGGAATTCAAACCTCTTGATCTCTTGGTCGAGGGCACATCTTTTTAGCATTTATGCTATGCTCAGTTTGACAATAGCCTTATGTACATCACAATTTCAATTGAGAATCGTAGAATAGGTTAAGCTTCTTTTGATATCTTTTTGAGCAATAGCTAAATTAGTTTTGAATAGCACCGTTGTTATACTGTGAAAGTGTCTTCGAATAGCACTGTTGTTATGCTGTGAAAGTGTCTTATTTTCCTGTTGGCTTGTTTTAGTCTTCAATTCTATGTTTCATGTTGCAGTCTCAGTCATGTTGCTTCGGATATCATGCTAATCAATTATAGCTATATTACATGTTCAGTCGAAGGCAAACTCAATTATTGAATAAGGTAGGTGAATGATCTTAATTGTTAACCGATAAATAATATAAGCGAATTTAAAATACTCAGCTTGGAGTTTGACCCCATTGCAAGAGTATTTGATCTGTACTAACAATTATTGTGTATTATGATAAATTTATCCTTCCTGGACTTTTGCTCTGATCATTGATGCGCACAAGGTTCTTTCCGGTGGTATCTGAGAATGGGAAGTTGCAGTCTCGAAGGAAGTGAATTAGTGGTTTGGTCGCTGGAAATGATTAGTATGTTTATGTCTGTATGTATGTGTATATATGTATTCATGCAATACATAACAGTTAGCAAGTGTAGAGTTTAGACCCAGTAACCTCAGTTCTACTGTTTATCAGATAATTGATGAGGTTCTAACAGACAGGCTTAAATGGTTCTTCCCTCTGTCTAATCTACTTCTGTTGGCTGTGGCAAATCATAGACCTCATCTGAATGGCAAAAAAACTGGTCGATGATTCCTAAAGAAGAAACAAAAGGGGGTGATTTTTGAATTGAATCTTGAGAAAATTTATGATAAACCTGATTGGCATTCCCTTGATTGTCATTCCCTTGATTGTCATCCTTCAAGTCGGAGGCTTTAGGAAATGGAGGAGAAAGTTGTTATTGGCTATGAGTTGAGCAGCAGCTTCTTGATCATTGTTAATCAGACCAGCCGGAGTTTGTAAGCTTCGAGAGATCTTTGTCAAGAGTTCCCTTTTTCTGTTTTCTTTTAGTATTTGTAGCATTGTAGCAGTCTAGAGGTGTAACTGCCCAAACCCAACGCTTGCAAATATTGTCCTTTCTGGGCTTTCCCTTATCCTCCAAACTTTAAAACGTATCTACTAGAGAGAGCTTTTCACACACTTATAAGGAATGCTTCGTTCTCCTCTCCAACTAATATGGGATCTCACAATCCACCCCTCTTGAGGGCCCAACGTCCTCGCTGGCACACTACTCGGTGTCTAGCTTTGACACCATTTGTAACTGTCCAAGCCCACCGCTAGCCGATATTGTCCTTTTTCGGTTTTCCATTCTGGGCTTCCCTCAAGGCTTTAAAACGTGTATACTAAGAAATGGTTTGGAGGTCGGTAGGGTGGAAGTCCCTCGGGTGGCACGAGCTCCCACTCTATAAGTCATTTACGGCTTACTCCTATGATCACGCCAAATTAAGTAGTGTACATAAGATCTTTAAACTTTTGGGGCTTCAGCATAAAAATTAACTTGTTGAAATAAAATGTGGTCGGAATGGATTATTTCTCTAGGAGGCAGTGAAAAAAGCTTGCCTGTGATCTTGGGCTTCTTCTTCATGGAAACCAAGATGTTGTAAGCCTTCTGCGATACTGTGATTGAAGAATTTTGCGAATGGGAAACCTATCTCTTTAAGGCTCACTTCACGGCCCTTTCTAGACTCCCTATATACATTCTTTCCTTTTTTAGAATCTCCTGTAGTATTAAAAACACTATAACCTGCTCTTTTTGGTATCAGTAAGAGTAATCAACAACAAAATTTCTTATTTTGCAGGGAGTCAGAAGAGAAGTTGGAAAACATGCTAAAGCAATCAACACGCTATTGCCAACAAAGACACCTGTGAACTCATCCTTTTCCTATAAAGATCAGGATCGTCGAGTCAACTCGCAACTCGAGAGCAGCAGTCCCCTGTTATCTGAGGAAGGAACCAGGGCCTTGACGGTACTGAGTCCGTTAAAGGAGGAGGATATCGCATCGTCGAGCTTGGCAACTGATGTGGAAGAAGGGTCAAGAAGGGAGGGTAGTGAATGGAAGTCATTCAAAGAATCAATAGGCCACACTGAGATTGAAGTTGCAGCTGGTGCTTTGTTGGGTTTCACGGTTAGTCTGATAACTAATACATTATTGTGATTTATAATATTGATCTCACAAATAAACTGTATCTATACGAAGTCCCATTTTCTGTGTCAAAGCTAAACTCGAAAACGATAATTTAATGAGAAATTTATTACGTAGAGCCACCACACGAGACTCGACTAGTGGACTATGATTTGAGGAAATTACATTATAGGAATCTTAATATATAAGTTAATACAAGCTACCTTCGGATTTAAAAACTTTTCTCTTTCTCTAGTGACGAGTCCTAAGTTTCTTGGTGTTCTTCAAAATTAGAAAATAAGTCGTTCTCAGTTGTTATTTAATTGGAGTCATAGAGTTATTTAGTTATGAAATCGGTGTTTGGGCGTCTGAAATGTTTGGTCTTATGAAGTTTATGTTTGGTGTGCTTGGTTTGTGTTGATTTTTATTTTGTTTTTTACAATTCTCTTCTACTAATACAATTAGAGCTAGACTTCAATGTTTTTCCCCCCAAAATTCAACTTATATAGAATCTTTACCATTGAACTTCAAATCTTATTCTTTTATGAGTAAAGTATTAATTTCAATTAAAATAACATGGACTATTAGGGATCACCTGGATTTGCATGCATCAAAGAAAAATTGTCTCTATGGATAGCGTAGCATGACTTGTACCTAAGAACATGCGATAAATGTGCAATTATATGCTTTAGTATGCGAAAATGGATGTATTAGACCTTGTTTGTCGTATATTGTCATTTTATACTGCTACTTTGAATATCATGTTGTATTGGAGGATGAGATTTTGTGAAATCTATGCTCTGGGTACTTGATAGATGTTACCGCCTTGTTGAGTAGAGAGGATTAGCAATAGGAATGACCTTAAAAACTAGGTTGTGTGAGATAGTTTGGTTAGTATATGACCTAGGACGAAAGACTTCTAGAAGAAGAGCGCTATAGATTCATGAGAGATGAACAGAGGGTGGTGCTCCTAAACGATCCAGACTTGGATGTCAGAATCATATTACTTAGAGATGTAGAGCTTCGTCAAGATTGCCAAACTGCCCTAAAGACGTAAACGACCGCCACAGTAACCCTAAAAGGAATAAAGGGCATCACGTAGGTTGGTAGCAAATGATGGGCGTCGAGGAGCCTCCACACCCCTTTTCGCTTCAGTTTGGTACGGTTGAGCCATGCGTGAGGCTGATAAAGGTTTGTGTGACCTGAGCAAGAGAGTTTGTTGGGCTACCCTATGCGGAGGATCTGACCTATAAGAGGCATTGATTATGCAGGTAATTAGCAGAGTTGGTACGATAGGGGGGGTAGCGAGCTCTATGGCTTTGTGTGATGGGTTTGTCGACCACCTCCCATCGATGACAAGCAGGCTAGCACTCTCTTTTAATTATCCTAATAAATTTAAAATTTAAATTTTCTTTGTAATTTTATAAATTGCAAAATGATTGTCCTTCCTCTTTGTTTATTCTCATGCCAATGGAAGAAAATAAATTAGACAATATTTCCCCTTTTTCCTTTCTTTTTACACATCTTAATGATAGAAAAAAATTCATTAGAAAATAATTTTGAAAATTTTAAAAATATTTATTCTTTTAAAATAATTAACAAAATTTCAAACAACACGTAGTCGTCACATGAGATTCCACGTGGAGAAAGATGAGTGGATGTTGCAACAACATTACAAGGTCCTCTCCAATAATATATTCCCCTATATATTTGGAATAATTTTATTAACTTGAAAAAAATATATTTAAATATAAAAAATGTAAATGTGTCAGCTTTTTATTGCATATCGTGAGACAATCCATGTGACTGTAACCGACTGCTTTGATGATTATAATTATTAATTAATAGTTTAAATTAGTTTTTAAAATATAAAAATTAAACCGTGCCGGTTTGTGGCTCCCTTACAACCCAAAGCTACACCCAATTATTTCATTTTCCTTATTTTATTAATTATTTCAAATCGTATAATTATGCATATCTAACCTTTATATCTTTTTTAATTCACCGTTCTTTTCGTTCAAATACTTTTTAATATATATATATATTTTTAAATATCATCTCAAATATGACGTAACATATTAATTTTTTATTCAGTAATTGTACAACAAAAAATTGAGTCATTGACTTTAAAATTACAATTAATAGTTTATTCACTAAATTATATTAAAGCAACATATATTAAGATACTCTACTATAATTGAATTAAAAAAAAAATATATATATATATATAATACTAATATTTTAATTAATTTATTAAATATAAAAAAAATTCATAAAAATTTTCTTAGAAAATTGTTAAATTACTAATTAAAATTTTAAAATAAAATATACAAAATATAACTAAATCATGAAAACAAAACAAAACAAAATATATTATTAATTAAATCGTAAATATTTATGCATTTAGTTTGGTCTATTTTAAAATAATTTATGAGTATTTTTATTTTTATTTTTTGTTATGGATAACTTATCATTTTAAATTAGAAACAAAAATATTTTAAAAAAAAATTATGAGTATTTTTATTTTTGTAAGGGATAACTTTTCTTTTAAATTAGAAAAAAAAATCTTTTTTAAAAAAATAAGAATTATATCATGGGTTTACTCACAAGACTTCACTATATAATTAAAATATACTTTTTCACATTAATATTGTTATAAATAATCAAATAATGTATTTAAGTAATTATTGAACTTAGTTTTGAGTAACAATCCATCATAGTTGAATTAATTGAAACAATAATAATTTTTTTGAATTATTTCTTCGAAAATTTATGAGTTAGTTGCAAACGATAAAAAATTGGTATTCGATAAATTAAAAATTTAACACTATTTTACGGTAAAGAAAATAGTTATAATTTTAAAATATAATGCAAAATGGGTTTGTTCCTCGAGACCACATAAATGAAAAAGAGATAGAAAAAAAGGTAAAATATAAAATGTTGAGTAAAAAAACGAGTATTTACTTGTTAGATGTTCAGAGGAAACAACTAACATTAAGAATACTACGAGAATTACACAATTACTCTGTTAACTCGATCGAAACACTAAACTACTGGTTCTTGCATCACTGAAAAGACGATTCACTAAAAAAAAAAAATGTTACTTTCGAACGTGGTCCTAAATTTGTCGATTTTGTACATGAGACGAAGGACATATAATGTGAATTTAATAATACTCAAGTAGGTTGGATTTAATGCGATTGGAATTTATGTGTACAAATAAATATAAAAGTTAATATAACAGTTAAAATTCACTACGAGCAAATATTGTCCACTTTGTCTCATTATATGTATTCGCCAGTCTTACGATTTTAAAACATATCTAATAGAAAAAGGTTTTAAATCGTTATAAGGAATGTTTTATTCCCCTCTCTAATCACTGTGAGATCTCACATGAATGCAGCTTGTCATATAAATTGGAAGAACAACGCTTATGATTTCGTTCATTTTGTTTGTAACCCATCTGAATACGATCAAATTAAGAAGGTGTGTGTGGTTGTGATGGTGGTGGTGTTTGTTCCCTTCGTTCATCTCTCTTCCAAATTTCCTTTATAAAAAGCCTCTCTTTCCCTCTTCTTCTCTAACTCCCATTTCTTTCTCTTTCTCTCTCTTCCCCAAAACACAACCAAAAACGATGTGTCGTTCCGACCAAGCCTTGGAATCCTCTTCTGTCGTCCTTGATTCCAAATTCAACCCCCCTCCCCTCCTTCAGCCCACTTCCAATCGCCTCCTCCACCGCCGTAATTCCCTTAACAAACACCCTTCCCCCTCCCCCAACATCACCTCCACCTCTGACAAGATTCTCCTTCCGCTCGCCGCTAACGGCTGCTCTCTGTCTCGCCCCCGGCCTGCCTTGGATAGGAAGAAATCCAAAAGCTTCAAGCCTGGGGGAAATGGGAACGTGGGTTGTGATAATGTTGCTGAAGTCGCGTCGCCGGGGAGCATCGCCGCCGTGAGAAGAGAGCAGGTGGCGCTGCAGCAGGCGCAGAGGAAGATGAGAATTGCCCATTATGGACGGTCTAAATCCGCCCGGTTTGAGAAAATCGTTCCCTTTGATTCTAAGATTAAAGCCGTTGTTGAAGAGAGAAGATGCAGCTTCATCACTCCCAACTCAGGTACCCTTCAATCTCCCCTGTTTCTTTATTTTATTTTATTTTAAATCTCCCCTGTTTTTTTCTATTCATAAATTAGGTTTTTCCTTGTCAGATCCCATTTATGTGGCCTATCACGATGAAGAATGGGGCGTCCCTGTTCATGATGACCAGTGAGCTTCTCTCTCTCTCTCTCTCTCCTTCCCTGTTTCTCTCTCCTCCATTGTTTTAAGCACTGAAGCTTGAAATTGAAAACAGAACGCTGTTTGAACTGCTGGTTCTGAGTGTGGCCCAAGTGGGTTCGGATTGGACTTCAATTTTGAAGAAACGACAAGATTTCAGGTACAAAAACCACCTTAATCGATCCCTTTAAGTTTGTGGGTTGGTCTGTAATTCACTGAATTAGAGCTTTCATCTTCGCCCAGAAATGCATTTTCAGATTTCGATGCACAAGTGGTGGCGAATTTTTCCGACAGACAGATGGTTTCGATCAGCTCAGAGTATGGAATGGACATTAACAGAGTCCGAGGAGTGGTCGACAACGCAATCCGGATCCTGGAGGTAATTAATTAAATAAATAATTAATATGTTGTTCCTTTTCCAAACATGAATGAATTAATTAGTGGGGGATTTGTTTAATTTTCAGATTAAGAAGGAATTTGGGTCTGTTAGACGAACACGACTCTCCACAATGGTATGATATTGTCCACTTTGAGCATAAGCTCTCATGGCTTTGCTTTGGGCTTCCCAAAAGGCCTCATACCAATGGAGAGTGTATTCTTACATTATAAACCCAACCGATGTGAGACTTTCATCATCCAACACCTCCCCTCGAACAAAGCACGCCTCCCCTTAATCGAGGCTCGACTCCTTTGGAGTCTTAGTCATTTTTGACTGCCTTTGTACCTTCGAGTAGGCTTGACTCCTTTTGGAGTCCTTTGTTCGACATTTAAGGATTTGCCAATCTATTGACACGGCTAAGTTTAGGGCATGGCTCTGATACCATGTTAGACGAACACGACTCTCCACAATGGTATGATATTGTCCACTTTGAGCATAAGCTCTCATGGCTTTGCTTTGGGCTTCCCAAAAGGCCTCATACCAATGGAGAGTGTATTCTTAGATTATAAACCCATGACCATTCCCTAAATTAACCGATGTGAGACTTTCATCATCCAACACCTCCCCTCGAACAAAGCACGCCTCCCCTTAATCGAGGCTCGACTCCTTTGGAGTCTTAGTCATTTTTGACTGCCTTTGTACCTTCGAGTAGGCTTGACTCCTTTTGGAGTCCTTTGTTCGACATTTAAGGATTTGCCAATCTATTGACACGGCTAAGTTTAGGGTATGGCTCTGATACCATGTTAGACGAACACGACTCTCCACAATGGGTATGATATTGTCCACTTTGAGCATAAGCTCTCATGGTTTTGCTTTGGGCTTCCCAAAAGGCCTCATTCCAATGAAGAGTGTATTCTTAGATTATAAACCCATGACCATTCCCTAAATTAACCGATGTGGGACTTTCATCATCCAACACCTCCCCTCGAACAAAGCACGCCTCCCCTTAATCGAGGCTCGACTCCTTTGGAGTCTTAGTCATTTTTGACTGCCTTCGTACCTTCGAGGAGGCTTGACTCCTTTTGGAGTCCTTTGTTCGACATTTAAGGATTTGTCAATCTATTGACACGGCTAAGTTTAGGGCATGGCTCTGATACCAAGTTTAGGGCATGGCTCTGATACCATGTTAGACGAACACGACTCTCCACAATGGTATGATATTGTCCACTTTGAGCATAAGCTCTCATGGCTTTGCTTTGGGCTTCCCAAAAGGCCTCATACCAATGGAGAGTGTATTCTTACATTATAAACCCAACCGATGTGAGACTTTCATCATCCAACAGGGTCATTGGAGAAATACATTTGGGGGTTTATGAACAACAACCCATTCTCACCGCACTACAAATCCGCCCACAAAATCCCGGTCAAGACATCAAAATCAGATACCATAAGCAAAGACATGATCCGGCGAGGATTCCGGTCCGTCGGTCCCACCGTGGTCCATTCCTTCATGCAAGCCGCCGGTCTGACCAACGACCATCTCACCACCTGCCACAGGCACCTGCACTGCACATTAATCGCCGCCGGCCGTCGCGCTCCACCGCCGGAAGTGGAGGAGACGACGACAGGTGCGGCAGGCTCGGAAGCTGTGTAGAATTCAGTGGTTGCTAATTAACTATATAACTGTTTTTATTTTATGTTTTTTGTGTCAAAATGTCTGTATGAATAGAATGTCGTGAAGTGAAGTGAAGTGGTAGTGACAATGTCGTGTGTGTTGGTCAGTTTGCTTTTGTAAATTCCCATCTCATCCATCCTAACTTCAAACATTATTAAACCATTATTGTATTATTTTTAGTCTTATTTAGCCTTTTATATTCTCGATTAAGTTATCGAATGTTCGAGTCTGAAAATAATTGGGCGTCGTAGTTAAAAGAATATGAAAACAACTATCTTACCCATGATCTAGAGTTGACCGTCGTAGTGTATGTGCTAAAAATTTGGCGACACTGCCTATATAGACAGAAAATTCAAATTGTTACCAACCACGAGTGTCTAAAATATTTCTTCATCCAGAAAGAGTTGAACATGAGACAAAGAAGGTGGTTAGAACCGGTGAAAAACTACAGCGTAGATATCCAGTACCACCCTGAAAAAGAAAATGTGGTCACATATGCCCTAAGTAAAAAGACGACCTACTTGTCGTCCTCCATTATGAGAGAGGGAAGGGTATAAAAAGACTTCGAGTGAGCCAACATAATTGGAGTGACTGAAGGAGTCCACAGTTGGCCTGACTCGCAGTACGACCCACACTTTGGCTGAGAATTATTGACTCCCAACAAGAGGACCCTAACCTACAGAAACTCCTAAGCCAACTGGCCGAGAGTCCAGTAGACGGATTCTCGAAATCCTCATATGAAGGACTATTGTGCGATGGACGCCTATGTGTCCCAGCAATATAAGAGTTAAAGGAAAGAGATATTGACGGAAACTCACCCAGGAAGTATTAAGATGTACGAAGATTTAAAACAACACTTTTGGTGGAGGAGCATGAAGAGAGACGTGGCCGAGCTTATGAGCAAGTGTTGAGCTTGTCAACAAGTGAAAGCTCCCAGACAAAAGACAGTTGGGATGTTACAACCCCTAAATATTCTGGAGTGGAAGTGGGAGAACATAGCAATGGACAAACAGAGCGCCTAAACCAAATCCTAGAGAACATGCTACGTGCTTGCATATTAGACTTTAAGTGAAGTTGGGATTCCAAGTTCCACTTGATAAAATTCTCATACAACAATAGTTTCCTAGCCACTATTGAAATAGTACCGTTTGAGGCCTTGTATGGGAAACGGTGCAGGTACCCACTATATTGGGACGAGGTAGATGATAGAGAGTTAGTAGGAACCGAGCTAGTTCGAGTCACCAATGAGGTTGTCCATAAAATCCGAGCGAGGATGTGTACCGCTACAAGTAGACAGAAAAGCTACGCTGATGTAAGACGTAGAAACTTAGAGTTTGAGATAGGGAACCTGGTATTCCTAAAGTTGGCACCAATGAAAGGTGACTTGAGGTTCAGACGTAAGGAAAAGTTAAGTCTCAGATTCATTGGACCTTTCGAGATTCTCGAGCAAATTGGTCCCATAGCGTATGATGATGCTAATAGCATATGAATTATGTATGATGATGCTAATAGCATATGAATTATGTATGATGATGCTAGACCTAACCTTTCCTCTAAGAGCCCAACAGACCACCATGACAACCACCATGACATATCATGACATACGAACCACCTTAGGAGTGTCCTTAGGCTGCTAGATGTGTGAACAGTGTCAACAACTTCGTGGGGGAATAGGGGTTTCTGATCAAAACCAAACTGAATCTAGCCATTTCGCATGGGGAATGAGAGACCCACGTCATACCACCCATTAACTGTATGAGATAAGAGAGGGGTCCTGCCCCTCAATGACCTGCCCCCTCAATGAAGAGGACTATTACGAACCTGGGAGGTTTCAACTCACCCCTAGGTAAGATGTCATATATAGGCATGCATAAGGTAGGTCTCGTAGAGAGACACATAGAGACAAAATAGATTAAATGGAGGTTTGGAGCCATAAAAAAATGTATTATTCGACTAGTCTCGTACCGCACAAGTATGATGAAAGGAAGGAGCAATTATTGTAATTTTCTTTTCTCGACATAGAAGAACTTGCATCGGAGATTTCATCATCATAGTTAGCATCAACATAACTGAAAAAGCCTAATCTCAATCAAATTGATGCCGATGCTATTGCATTAGCATATATACACATAAATTTTCTTAAAATTTTGAACTTTAATAATATGATTGGCATTAATGAATAATTATAACATCATGAATGTGAATAAAGGAAGATGTACATATATATATATATTTTTTCATTGTAAACCAATATACATTTGTGTTTTGTTTAAAAATAAAAAAGCAATAATCCCCCTCTCTCCATGTTTGTTGAAATTGAATCATTTAGAAAAATAAATTAAAAAAAAAAAAAAAAGAATAATGTTACATTATATGAGTATAATTAATAAGAAGGAAGTAATAAATGAAAGAAAATGGAGAAGGTCTAGGCGCAATCGGAGGGAGCAAAAGTGACGGATCCCTTGAGTAAATCATATTTCCAAATGAAAGTCTGCTGAATAATATTCCCTAAGATATTGATTGACGGAAAGGGCAGAGAAGTTATCGCAATACAGCTACATTGGTATGACGCCGAAACGATGTAGCTCCTATCCGGCGGTTCGAACACCGCCCCGTCTTCGAAATGGAATCCAAGCTTCGGCAACATACCAAAATTCCACTCAGTGTCATTGAAGCAAAGTTTGAAGTTCTTCTCCCTTTCACCCTTTACATCCTTTTCCATTCTTCCGAATTTTTCGATCTTGGGAGCCATCGCTTCTATCACCGCATCGTGAGCCGGCGCCGTCAGCATCGTCAGGCTGGTGCCCGTGTCCAAGATGGTGCCGCAACCGGACTTGATGTTCCAAACGTGAGGGGGGATGTTCAGGATCTGTCCGTCGACGGAGATTCCGGACAGTTGGACGCCGTAGTAGCAGCTGTATCGGCCGCCGGTGAAGAGTTTAGTGGTGGCGGGGGGGCCGATGGGAGAGGATGTGGAGGCGGAGAAGGTCTTGGGGGAGGGGGTGCCGAAGACGAAGTAGCTAATGGCGGTTATATTGCGGAGGTGGTCGGCGAGGCAGTAGGAGAAGCCGCCGCCGACGTTGTTTTCGGCGGCTTTGTAGACGAAGGAGTAGATGCTAGAGCCTAAGCCAATGAGGCCATCGGCTCCGTCCAAGAACTGGCTGTCAGTCATTTCTTCGGTGCAGCCGTATAGAATGTCCTTCAGTTGCTTTTCTTTTCCGTTTGTTAGTCTTACTGTTACCGTCTCGGTTGCGAATATTCCCATCGCGCGGTCCCCACTTAAGTAGCTGTTATTTATTTATTTTTTAAACAGACCAACCAACATCCATTTATTGTTATAATGGTCCCCACCAAAATTTTATTTAAAATAATAATAATAATAATAATATTAATTATTAATACCTGTAGGTATAGGAACAAGGGGTGTTGGGGGTTGGACAATCGGGTTGGCCGCCGAGCTCAGAGAAATCCTGGATACACTGCTTGGAGGAACAAGGAATTGGGGAGAAAGAAGATGACTGATTCGCATAAAGCGCGTAATTGAATCTCTCTCTCATTTTGTTACGCATTTTATGGATCGGAGAGGGGTTGCTGCAATCTCCCCTGCACCGCCGGTATCTGCATCTCGTCCACAATAGGTCACTTCCGGTATCTGCAATCATCGTGAACTTCTGCGGCGGCGTTCCCACTTTCAATTGCACGAAAAACTCACTGCTACCGAAATCAGCGCCGGGGTATGTTTTCAATGCTATTGGCGTCTGCGAATGTGGAGGATGATTCGAACCCGACGCCTCCTTCACCTTCTCCTCCGCATTCTCCACAACTTTGGTCCAATTCAGGTGGGCGGAGATGGCTCGGAGGCGAGATTGATCGTGATAGCGAATATCCTTGATGCGATCCTCCATCTTATCCACCTTAATTTCATCATGAAGCCTCTTAACCACTTCCGGATGGTGGCGGTGTATCAGATCCAGCCTCACGAATTCTTGTTCTTCATTATTGGCATCGCTTTCTTGTTTCAGATTATTGGCATTGCTTTGATCGGCGACTGCGACGGTGAGAGGAGAGAAGAAGAAGACGACGAAGAAAAGGATTAAAAGATGAGAAATCGACGACATTGCTCCGTTCCTGTCAGAGAAAACAGATGAAGCAAGGAGGAAGATGAGAATGGCGGACTTAAAAAGAGGAATAACATCTATAAACCCTAACTGTAAAACTATAAATTTAGAATCACTTTCTATTTCTTTTTTCTTTTTTTTTTCGAGTTTATGGGTATCATTTTTTTACGTGTTCTTCTGTTTTGTCTATTAATATACAGAAAGAAAAGATAATTTAAATTTAAATTATTTTATTTTAAAATATATTTTTATTAGAAGCTAAAAAGGAGATTTTAATAATTTACAAAATTTTATGCAATAAAATAAAATTGGAATTATATTTTTATTCTTTTCAGATTTACAAGACAATTATTTAATTAATAAAATAGATTTAAAAATTAAATTAAAAAATATATTTTTTCCGATAAAAAAAAAAAAAAAAAAAAAAAAAAAAAAAAAAAAAAAAAAAAAAAAAAAAAAAAAAAAAAAAAAAAAAAAAA